GCACCAAATTATTAAACTTTTAATTTACGTAAGATGTATTAAAAGTAATTTTAAAAAACCGACTTTAAAATCGTGCAGATGCCATCACCACATCTGAACCAAATTTATATGGGACCACCCCTGAGGTACCCCCTTACTAACGAAAAGCATTATAGAAATCGGACAAGGTGGTAAAGAATTATCGCTAAACATAAATAAAAAATGAAAAGTTTAAGGATTTTCCCATTGACCCAATTATTAGATTTTGACCAAATTTTCAAGGGACCATCCCGGAAGTACCCCCTTTTCAGCAAAAAAGAATCATTTAAATCGGACATTGTGTTAAAGAATTATCGCTGAACATACTTAAAAAAAATATATACAGACGAATTGAGAACCTCCTCCTTTTTGAAGTAGGTTAAAAAGGATATAATAATCTATATTATTTGTATTAACTAAAAAACTACTATGTGGAGTTATATACATCTTCTTAAATTAATCTTATATGTAAAAATTTGGGTTCGATTCCTAGAAGAGTACCTAAGTTCACTGTGCAGCCAAATTTATATTTATGGTACAGAATTTTTTGAATAAATAAAGTTTTAGGTTTAATTAAACACCAAGTTTTATCAGGAATAACATTTTCTGAAAAAAGTAACATAAAAAGCAGACTTTTTGCGAGCCACTATATATATTTTAGAGGACAATCCATATTATTTTAGAAAAATAAATAAAATTTTTGTATAAACACATAAATGTGATTTATCTTTTAAAGTTTACTAATTTAAAAAAAAAGAAATATTCTTCAAAATTTTTCTTAAATTTTTTAACACGGTACAAAATACCTTAATCCGTTTATAGTTATCGAAATTAGTAAAGAATTTTAACTTGTTTAAAAAGCGTTCTTTCTCTTTCCATTTCCTATAAAAACTAATAGACCTTTTTGAAATCGGTATTCGGTGACTTTTCTTCTGTTTTATTGCCTTGAAAATGATATGATTTACATAAAAAACAAAAACTGACTTATTATTTTTGTGAAATAAAAATATGTTGTTATTTTCACAATTTTCGACTACTTTTTGTTTCCAAAAAAGAAATACGATGTTCTTCTGTAGATATTAACACATTGTTTAATTGGCTTTTTTTTTTTTTTTTTTTTTTTTTTTAATATTCTTTAGTATTTTCATAATTTGGGAAACAGTATAGCATTGAAACTTCTATACCTGAAAAATTGTGAGTACGCTTTTAATTAATTGTCTGTTTTTTATCTCACAATGTCTCGATAATTATGAGTATTCTTTAACAGAGATATATTTATTTGTATTATGGAAATGTTTATGTCGACAAACTTATGTTCGATATTTGTATCAATTTGTAAAAATAACTCTTGTATAATGATAATATTAAATTTAAAGGTTTTAAATAAGGACTTGCAGATATCACAATTCGAAATTTTTTTATTGGCCATAAAACTTTTTTTGGAATGAAAGCATTAGTTTCTGTTTTTCAGTTAAGCTCCATAAATTCATATTTTAATCTGAACGTTACTTAAGCACAGTAAAGTTGCAACAACTAAACAATATAGTGAACTTTTCGAAAATTTCTAAATGAAAATCAATTTATATTTAAAATTAAATAAGTTAACTAACATTTTTGACCGTTATGAAGTTAATAAAGTTATAAATAACGTCGTTACAAAGATTTATGTTCGGATTTTAAATTTCTATTGATAATAGTTACTCATCTACGTATTACAATAACAATACCTACATGACTTGGCTTTGACACAAAACCCTGTATAGTAAAACTTCTAATCCGAATCCAAATCTTGAAACTATTATTTGGGGACTTAAAATCGTGGTCCACTAGTTGGTGTAGCCTTTTAAAACATTTGGTATAATAATAATAATAATTATATATCATCAATTACCACTGCCACTGGTAAAATCTTAAATTTAAAATAGTGTATTATAATAATAAGACATTAATCATATCTTAAATGGATCGCCTACTACCATGTTTTAGAAATAAATAAAATTTAATTCTTAAATTAATAAAAATATTCAAAATAATATAAGATTCCTTGCGTTATGTTAATAAACATTAAACAAAATTTCTCACGAATTATTTAATATTCTGTCCCGTACTTCCATGTCTCTATTGCTTCGCTGTCAACAAGTTCCGGCAAGACATATTGCATATAAAAATTTTTAATTTTATTTTGTATCTTTTCTTCTCAAAAGCGGTCAATATGAGATATTTTCTCCACTTTTATTCCTCCAGAAGTCCAAAAGCACAAAAGCACAAAATGCAAAAATCCATTTGTGTTATGTGCAGCTAGCCCTGAATTTGAAAATACCAATAGTGGTTGTCCTTAATGGAATTATTCTTTTTCCAAAAAGTTATTTCTCTACTGCATATTTCTTCTGCTACAGTCAGCCCTTCAGCTCTATATGGACATTTTAACTCTATCATAGAGTTTTGTTTTTTTTTAATTCCATCCAGACTGGCAGCAACATAATCAAATTCGAATTCAATAAAATGTCCACATTTAAAAACTTTTACTTGCAAATAAATTTCCAAATCTTATTTTGCTCTGAATTTATGGTCCATGCCATATCGGGTGGCTTTAGAAATAAATAAAAGATTTTAGGAGATTTTTTACAAATTTTTGCAAATTTTAAAGCAGTGGAAACGAGTCTTTTATTGTACCACAATGCACAATCAGCTTGTTACAATCGTTTTTCTCTCATTTATAGACATTGGCTAACTTTTTAGAAAATTTTCTCTTGCAACGCGCCTCAAAGGGTGCGACAGATCAAAGCCATGCGCGAAAGCAAAAAAAAATATTTACATTACTTTAACGGATTGAAGAGATATTAACATGCTGGAATTAATAATTATTGTTGACTCGAAGAAGTATTCATTAAACAAAAACATATAATTCACATCTCAGTGTATACCTTCCAATTTCGTAGGTATATATATATTTTTTAATAAATAAATGATAAAATTAATTTAATATAATTGAGCGAAATTACTGTGTGTAAAAAATAACAACATGAATTCAAATCACTTACGTATTGTTTATCACTAAAGAGTAGAAAAAGATATATATTTTGTTGGTATTACCTTCTAGACGAAAAAGCTTTTAACGTATATCTATTTTTATTGTAATAAAAATAAATGCTCCTGTAGGCAAAAATTAAATATATTTTTCTCTTCTAGCATTTTTTAACATTTCTATTTCTTTTCTTAGATTTTTTCAAAAGAGACATATTTTTAAAGTAAATCCGGAGAGGTATGGATTAAGCCTTTACCTGTACTTACATAAAATTTCTTTTAGTAAAATTAAAAAATAATCCGTAAAAGTGGTGTACTATGAAACCCTTGCATATAATATATATATATATATATATATATGCTAATCTTAGTATTACAGAAATAAATTACGTAAAACATAAGGTGTACAAATACGTAAAATTTATTTATCCCTCGTAAAATATCAGTAAAATATATTATAAATTGTTTTCATTCACAAATATTAATTTCTTAAAAATCTAACAGAGGCGCCACTTTCCAGACGAAAAATCTTGCAGTGTAAGGGTTTCATAGTACCCCACTTTTAAAGTTTATTTTTGAATATTTTTAAAATAAAAAAATATATATGTGTAGGTAAAGGTTAAATCTATGCTCCTCTGGAACCACTTTTTCAAAATTCAATTTAGTTTTTTCTAAAAAAAATTGAGAAAATGGGTAAAAAAAGTCGAGATTTGTATTTTTTTTTAGAAAAAACAGTTTCAAATTTTAAAAAAGTGTTTCCAGAGGAGCATAGATTTATCCTTTACCTACACGTACATATTTTTTTCTTTCAGAATAAGTCAAAAATAAACTTTAAAAGTGGGGTACTACGAAACCCTTGCATACTCCGCTCTACAGCCAAGTAAATACTCCTCTTAATTTGTTGTTTTCTGTTTTTGTGAGTGAAGAAAATTAACCATTTTTCTTATGAATGCCAATTTTTTCAGTCTGACCCCGTTTGTCGGATAATTTAGTTTAATTTCCTAGTACTATACAAGTGATGGCTAAGTGAATAGTTAATAAATTAAAAATATATAATCTCTTCATGAAAACAGATCTAATTTAAATTGTTATCAAAAAAAAGGTTAGTACATTATTATTAAATAGTTGCCTAACCAGTGCGGCTGGTGATTAACATATTGGGGGTTTACAATGATAGAATATAGCTATTTCTGAAGACTATCAGAGTCTTTAATCAGTTACGAAAACCTCCCAACAATGTTATTTAGGAGTCATTTTGTTTTTTTAATTTTATTTTTGACACAGAAGTTCCTTCAAGGCTCCAAGAGCCTGTATGGGACTGGTGACAGTGCCGCTTTATGCCAAATAGTACAGCGATCTAAATTATTAGAGACGATTTAGAGACCTACAAAATTGCGACAGAGCAGCGGCGGGATCTAAATTAGTTAAAGACTATTATTTAGAGACCTACTATTTGTTGCAGTAGATACCCCTCTAAGGTAGTCGACCCAGTTTGGAAAGAAAGTATTATGTGTATGCATCATTATTGCCAAGAAAAAACCAAGAAGGTTACTTTAGGTGAAAAACAGCAGTTACACACTAAATATAGGTGCCGTAATAAAGTGTCAATAACATAATATGGTATTCTAAGAATATATTAAATTTGTTGTATGTACAATAAACTCATTTGCAGAAATAGATACGATTTAAATATACATAATTGATTATTATTAAAATAAGTATTATACCACTATTACAGTTTAAATATTAAGAACATTCAATAAATCAATTTATTAATGTATCTTTTATGTAAATACATATTTAACGTCGTTATTAAACGCCAGAAGTGCCATAATGAGAAGCAATGTATGGGGTGTATTATAGCGCCCAATCTCGCCAAAAACATTTCAAATATTTAATTCTTTTTTTTAATAATTTTGAAACCAGTAGGAAATTTTGTTAATAAAAACATCTTAAGATACAAAGGACTATTTTTTCTTTACCTTTACATTTAAAATTAATAAATAAACTATTTTACTTTATTTTTCATAAATATAAAATGTTTTCTTTAATGTTTTCCAGTTTCTTCTACTTTCTTAGAACCATTTTACAACGCTTTTTTATAATTACCCATGTGAAATAGTAAATTATTTCAAAAACTGAAATGAAACTCAAACCCATCGTTATACTGCATAGACCTCCGAACATACCTAAAAGAAATAAACAATGATTGTAAAATAAGTTCATTCGTTCTTAATGATAAAGTGTACAGAGCCCTTCTGGTCGGTGGTACCCAACTTTACTATGTTTTTAGAGAACTGTCGTGCTTTGATCGCTAAAATGCCTCTCTTCCTTATTTCGGTCATTACTTGTATGATTATCAAAAATATTTATTCGCTCCGTGAGTAACAGCAGCGCCAATTAATGCATGTACTAATGGACGATTTTTGCATGCACTGACAATACAATTTTTATTAGATTTCGTAATTAAAAAGTATATATGTTAGTTTTAATAAAAGCATAATGGATTTGTAGAATAAGTGAAAACATTATTTATTATTATATATTATTATAATATATTTTTATCACTTTAACTAAAAAAAGCAAGTATATTCAATAAAAATAATAAAACATAAGGCAAGCAACAGTATTTACGAGAAAATTCCACACCTGTAATTTTGAACCAATCAAAATACGTGTTTTTGACAGATCACCATGGCAACGGAGGTATTTTAGTGGAAATTTTTTTCTTGTGGGGTACCCAACAGCGAATTATACTGGAAATTTTTTGACGTTTACAATAACAGACCATTTTTGACAGACTGATTTTTATTTGTTCACATAATAGGTTTAGTTTTGATACATTTTAGTTACAATGCTAAGGTGTTTTCTATATTCTTCGGCCACTTCTTTTCTTCTTAATGGCGAAAATGCAGGACTTTGGATGCTTTGAATTATGTGTCTATGTCTAATAAAATATATATAATATTTAGACACTAATTTATTCACCTTTTTCCCATTCAGCACTTTGAATTTTGCGTAGTTTAGGTGCAAATATTCGTGGACAATTCGGAACAAATTTTCGTTTTTCAAGTTGGAGCCACAATCCTCTATTAATCCGAGTAAGTAAGTCATGGTGCAATGATTGATCATTACATCAGACAATTTCACGCATATTTTGCATAGCGTATGATTTTCAAATCGATTCATTTTTAAACAAATAGGTAATTTTGTTGGTTTTACTTGCTGTGCAATATTCTTTATCGCAACAAAACGCGAGTTATTTAATGTTTTGAACTGTCAAATAACAATGATCACAGCCTCCTACGATTGATGCTTGCTGACGCTGGTTATGAATTTCATACCATTTTAAAGCGCTCATAACGCATGTTAATAAAAACGCAGAAAAACAATTTTCTACCACTTGTAGTTATTCAAAACTTACGTAAAATTAAAGAATATACTATTTTCTATTTTCAAATGGTATTCCTATGCAACTACAATGAGTAGAAGTAAGCAATTTGAAGGCCTAAATAATTACAGCGAAACATTTTTTTACGTCGGGCCGCTTGACAACTTCAAAACTGAAATTATATTCGAGGTTAGGGTCTCACTTAGTTACCATGACAACTCAACAATCAAGGCGACAACACCTTTTATGTTTCACTGGTGACTTGGAGAAAATAATTTGCATTGTTGAGAAACGAAAAATAAATTTTAAAAATATTTAATTTTCAACCATAATTCGGCGTGGAATTTTCTTACCGAATACCACGCGAGGTCAAATTAATATCAGGAAATTTTTTCTCGCTCATGAATATTTTTAGAAAATTTCCCTCGTCTGCGACTCGGGAAATTTTCAAAATATTCATGAGCTCGAAAAAATTTCCGGAAATAATTTGACCTCTAGTGGTATTACTAGTGAAAATTTATAAGAAGTTATCCAAGTCTAATAAGTTGTCTTTGAAGAATTAACCTATTATGTCAAAATAAAAAAATACCTTTATATAATAGCGTGAATTTAAAATGTATAAACAGAAGGATTGTTATTTATATTTATTTCATTTTTCTTCAAAAGAATAAATGTTTAAAATTGGTTTTCTATCAGTAAGTAACAAAATTGCATTCCAGCCACATACAATAATCAAAGGCAGAAATCTAGTCCTTGCTGAACATTTTTGACTAAAGGGATGTTGAAGAACATCTTAAAATGATAATTTATTTTTTATTTAAAACCTTTCAAGTTAGTTATGTCTACTATTTCTAGTATTACTGTTATTATTACAAAAATAAAGGTAATTTTTCTACTTTGTTATTGAAATTTTTTATAATTTATACTGTTTTTTGTTAGTATTTTTACAATTTATCACACAGCAACTCCGATTGCTTATTGTATTGTTTTTTTTTAAGTAAAATGTATTTTATACGCCAAAATTACAAAATATCGCCCTAAAATGCTCGAATTATCCGTAGCTTGCGCTAGTATCGCTTTTGCTTACCCTACCATGATTTTGCACTGAGCGAATAGAAATAAGCCAACCCCCGAAACCCAACTTAATATTCCGACCTTGCTAAATAGGACCCGATGGGAACACTGATCATGATCAACAGCCTGGAACAAAGTAGAATGTTCGACGAATAAAATGGATTTGCAACTTTTGGCGAAATAATTTTGTGGATGTTTCGAGAACCTTCGCCTTTTTATATAAATAAACTATTGGTGAAGACATAGCTGTGAGAGGATCAATATAGTAAATGTTCATATAAATTAGTATTAAGTAGAAAAGAATTAGTTACAAAATAGATTATCGTTTAACTTTATGAATAAATTAAAAATAATAAACTGTTTAAAATAAATAAACCTTGCAGTACTTTCTCTATTGAAAGAAGCACTGTTGATTACACTGTTGATATTTAGTAAAAAGTAGGTAATTAATTACACAGTATTAGATCTAGTTATATGTAATAACAATTAACTATCAATTCATTAAAGAGATAACATAAAATCACTATATAATAGATCTATTTGAAATATAATTAAATATGTGGTGAGAGTTGGACAATGGTTAACTATTTTTTTAGAAAAATTAATACACAAACTGCTTTTGAATAAAATAATAAAATAAAATAATAAAATTATTGTACTCGATTACTGCCAACGTTACAACACGGTCGGGACAAATAAATTGGCAGTGCTGATATTATTCGTTTCCTGTTCATTCTAATGCTAAATGTGCGAATTGTGAATTGTTGTTAATTTTTCAAGGTCGCGGAACTTGTCGGAAGTTGCAAATTTACCAGGTTGTTTAAAAAATAATATTAACATTTGCACCACTTTTTAAAACTATTACATTTTTTTTGACAAAATTAGAGGTAAATAAACAATTTTTTTGTCATTATTTAACCAACAAATATTTACGAGCAAAATAGAAGGTTGCAAATTGGAATAGCTGCTCTAAAAACTTGTATGAGTTATGTCATCGTTTTGGAGCGCTTTTGCAATTTGTTCATCTATTCTACAAACAAAAACGCTATTTAAAAAAAATAATCATGTTGCAAACTTTAAAAAAGTTATGTTGGAAACCTGACACAATGAAAACATCCAAATATATATTTAAGTTTGCAGCACTTTTAGAATTTTTTTTTATAATAATCAAATTTTGCTATGAGTTAACTAATTCCGAACTTTGGAAATGATAACAAATTTAAATTTAATTTTACCCCACTGTTCTTTCAAAGTTTGAAAACTTTTGTAATCAGTGCGACATCTTCAAAATAGACAACAGGTGTACTTCTTAGAGGTCGTTTAGAATTTAAAAACTACCACCATCAATAGGATCAGGTCGCGTGTACAAAAGTCATCCTTTCGGCAGAAATTCGTAGCAGAACAAGTGGGTGTACATATTATTAAATAATATAGAGTTTTCAAATCAATTATACTATTATTTGTCAGGTATTTATAAAAAATCTCCAGGCTTATAAAAGTTTATACTCACTTATCATATCATACCAGTAAAAAAATACATCTTGTTTATTAAATACTCCTATATATTTGTCGTAAGTTACATGAACGACACTAAAATTTGCTCTTGTCCTAAAATATGTAAAAAATATTAATGTTTTTCTAATGATTTAATTTTATAAGTATGACGGCTGATAAATTTTTAGTCATAAAAACTACGGATTATTTTTATTCTTCTGGCTGCCGTCCTAGCAAGAAACGTCCCATCCGAATATTTGTTGCTTGGAAATAATCGAGTTTTTAACTATTTTAACATTTTAACATATATTTGTTATCTTCTAAACCTCTTTTGTGGAACTCTTTAACGTTTTAGTACCTTTACGACTCAAATAGGACATTCCGTTTTGGTATCAAGAAAGACAAAATGTAAGCAAATTCAAAGAGATTTAAAAAACTGCTAATTTTGCAAATAGGACCTTTCTTGTTAGAGCGGCAAGTAGGATATACAGTTCTTATTTTTTGTTATCTGGCATGCTGTTCAATGTATATAAAGACTGTTTTTTTTTTAATTAGGTGTCATCGGCGTCGACTACTACGGCCATTAGCCTCGTGTTCTATGTAGGCTTTGTTACTGTTTCCCAGCGCCACTTTAGGAACAGCACTGTTAATTATTAGAACCCAACATTGAATGGTCGAGTGGGGAATCCTACCTATGCATTAGAATTAATATTTAATTTTTTTAATTAAATAAAAATTCCTGCCACCGGTGGGATTCGATCCTGATAGATATCCTAATTTGTTCAAAGAATTAATAATTTATAAGTGAACGATTTTTTGTAAGTGCTTGCTTTATATGTTATAATTAAAAAACTAAATAATCGACATCACTTTTTACTTTATATTGCGGAAACAAAGGCAAATGTTGTTTACAAACGTTCTCTTTATATTATTTAATAATCTTTACAAATACCACGCGAGGTGAGAATCCTCCTTGAAATAACACAAGACACCAGTCGATTAACATTTTGTATCGTGAAAGTTAGACCAATAATTTGCAAAGAAACAACAAAATGTTCTCAAAGAATTATCACTTCTTGTGGTATTACCCTTGATCATCTCAATGCAGTTATCTCGTTTCAGCGTGTAGTTAGTAAGTTGAAAGTTAGAGTCGTCGCATCGGTGAACATGGGAAGGGAGAAGCGAAGAAACAGAGCCAGCGCTGTTGCCAATTTTGTTGACCGAATAAATTCAATGCCAGACTGGAAAAAATAGGAACTGTATTTATACCCTTTACTTAATAGTCATAATGGCCTTTAAATGGCCTTTTACGCAGCACCCTGCAGTAGCCTGCGGCTATTATAGGAAACGTACAGATAGAGAAAGTAGTGGAATGTTACTCATCGCTCTACAGTGCGTTGCGGTTGTCATAAGTAAAAGTACAAGTAAAAGGAGATAGAATAGTCTAAAAATGTCTCGAAATGTCATGCCTTGTCAAAGAAAAGTCTGGATTGTTCGAGAAGGTTCTAGAAGGTAGAGGCTAGCTATATAAGTCGACGACTTGACGTCAGTTGGCAGTTTCATGATAGACGTTACATGTTAATGTTATCAGTTGCATTATTATTGTAAAGTTGAGTTGAAATAAATTGCGATACCAAAAACCTGTGTAACAGTAGGATACCAAAAACTATTCGTCGAAGAATTTTAGGAAGACATATTTAAAACTAAACTTGGTCAAGAGGAATCGCTGAAAGTTATTTTCGTTTCTATTTAGCCAGCAGATTTTTATAATTAGTGTTATATTTTACCTGATCTAAATGAATCTATCAGTAATTTTTTCTTAACCTAATTTTTTTTGTTAGTTTGCACTGCACCTAGCTATGTTTCAGCCAATCAGTAATTTGTCATTATCGTAAATTTAAGAGGCTTAAAACTAAAGATTCACCCAATGATATCTTGTCCATTCTGCTCTGATGAACTATACATTGCACACGCGCACTGTATTCTGATTTTACATAATTTCACATCACTAATTCAAATGGTTTGATCCTTTTGAGCCTTTTTTGTAAAACTTGGTAATGTTTTTTTTTTAAATTATTTTCCTTTTCTTCTTCGACTAAAGGCATTCTCAAATCTCTGTGAAGGTCTTAGTTTCATACATACCAAGCGGTATTTACTATTGTCATTAATATTTTGTTCTGGAAACGTTGTATTATATTTATGTTATTTTTACTAGCTTTAGTACTTGTTTGTTTATTAAAAGTTTATTTTCGGTTGAAAGTTTTGATTTTTTATTCATCAAGCAATTTTCTATTTTTAATATTTAATATCTAACATCCTGTTTTTTCTTTATGGGGTATTTCTTCTTTAATTTTATATATAGGATCATGTCTAAGTATTTCGCCGCTGAATTAGAACATGGTTTTCTAGTATTATGTAATATCACTGGTAGGTATTCTACTGATCCTTTATTAATCAAATTAACCTGAGCTCTTTTAGTTTCATTAAGCTCAATGCGCCATCTTCTTGTCCACTTGTTGATTTTTATTAGTTGCCTGTTAAAATTTTCTGGTCGATTCTTCTATCGAAATCCAGCGTTTATGATATTAGTGAGTTTAACCACAGCTTTACTTGGCAATAGTTTTAGTATTTTTCCTGTGGTTTCTTAGAATTGATATTTTCTTTGATTTCCTTAGCTGCCTCTTTAAATGTTACCCTATGAATTTATACTATGTTTATGTTCTCTTTTTTTAATAAATCGAGTCCTCCTTCTTCATTAGGTCGAAAACTGTTTTTGAGATGATCTGCGAAGATGTCAGCTTTTTGTTAATTTCATCATGCCCAGTTTCCGTTATCTTCTTTTATTGATGGTATGTGGACTATTGCACCTTTAGGTTTCCTAGTCGCTTTTCACAGAGAGTAATCAGTGTTTTTGTCGTTTGTCAATTAGCTGAGATATGAGTCTATTCATTAATTTTTAATAGTGAATATTTCTCTTTTTAGTTCTTGTATTAGTCTGTTGAGAACTACTTTATCTTCGGAGAATCAGGTGATTTGCCATTTTTTTCTTGAGAAACATTATTTTAAATTTGACAGGTTACACGACATCTCCCACCACTGGGACATAGTACACACAATTTGTTACTACTTGGTAACTGCTTTTCTAATAGTAAGTGTTTGGTGACTTTTTACGATGATTGTCTTGAATCTCTGTATGAAGGGTTGCACCCTTTCTTCTTTGTCGCCATTTTCTTGGGAGTTCAAAGTAGTTGGATCATTTGGGATTTTCCACAAAATTTCACAAGCAAGAGGCCGTATCTTTAATATGGCTGCTGACCTCTATCTGGTTATTTCTATCACTCAGGTGTGATCCATGATACGATAGTCCTACCTTAGAACTCCATGCAACTAAGAAGAGTTTGTCGCCTCCTCTACAACTTTCTCTGGATGGTGATTCTTCGACCTTTGGTTTGTCGAGCTACACTTCTCGAGCCTTGCTCATTTATCCATTTCTCGCTTTCTTAGGGTTCTTATACCCAGTGCTTTACCTAACCACCAAATTCAACTCTCCACTTTCCATGTACTGGAGCTCTTATAGTCCGCCGTCTTGAATGAGATATGTTATTTTGGTAATTTTTATTCGTTATAGATTTTAGTTCATTTAATTTTATTCTTCACTGTTTAGTCCATCTGCGAACTCATTAGTGGCTTGTCGTAGCTATTCAATAGCTTCATCTGCATTTGTTCCTATTGCGAAAATGGAAGTGTCATCAGCAAACTTATCGATTTTAAAACGAACAATTGTTGGTATAGAGTAGGTAAATAGAAGATACAAGATATCACCTTGTGGTACTCCTGCTTTAGTTTGTTTTAATTCTGTAAAATATATTTGTTATATATGATTCAGAAGTTGTACATACTGTTTTGAGAGCATTTGTCCAAATTTTATTTTAACTCCTTCATGCCTGACTTTTTATTCTTAGGCTTGCTTTATTAGATCTCTAATTTTATGGACTTGATCTATTTTTTTAGATTTTTTTTATAAGATTTTCTCTCTCTATGATTACTTTGAGTCAGTTTAATATCGTAATGTTTATGATCAATGATAAACAGATAAACGAGTGGGTAGTCAAAATTAAGTAAAAATTTCACAAATTACGATTTTTGTATTATTGAAGTAATTTAAATGGTATTTAAAAAAGTTTTATTATTGTCCATAAGAATTATACCTCTTAGCAGTGAAAAAAAGACAAAAAATAATTTTCAGCGATTTTTAAGTACTATTTTTGTTAAAAAAGTTCTCAGATCTTTACGATAAACTGATATGGCCTTTTTATTTGGACACCCGGTATATATTTATTGAATATACATATATTATTGATTTTAAATCAAATTATATAATTTTTATTACCCATTTATAAAAATATTTGAATCGTCATTACCAACATCATAACGATCATCTGAGCATGATGGTACACAGTGGGAGCAATGAATAGAATCCAGTTTTTCTCTTTCTAATTCATTACCTTCATAGTCCGTTGGAAATAAAGTCATCCATTTATCTAAAATGAAATTATAATATTAGACAAAACTATCCTACAAATTACCGATTGAACTATTTAAACCTAGAAATTTAGGCTACAATCTTTCAAGAAAAAATCCAACATTTTAAACAGAAATATAAAAATAGCAAGGTTGATATATTCAGTAGTAATACCATAAGTGATTAAATTGGCGCAATAATTCTGTCGATTTATTTTATAACGAAACTGAGTCGCTTGAAAACACCACTCGTCCTCCGGACTCGTGGTGTTTTCTTCAAGCAACTCAGTTGAGTCGTGAAATAAAAGAAAGAATTATAAGATAAATTCAATCACGAGTGGAATTTTATTAGACTATTTCACAAACAAAGTGAAAGGTAAAAAATCCGAGAGGAAATTAGCAAAAAAGTTAAGAAGTTGATTAGAGAAATAGTTTAATAAACAGAAAACATTGACATCGAACATACATATTTAAATAAACCAGTATCAACATAACGTACCTAAATATCTCTCAATTATAATTATAAATGGTACAGTTATTATATACAATGCTTTGAGCTTGACTATTTGAACACTCTCTTGTACTTGTAAAAGTTGTTATATCTTGATGGCTATTATTTCTCACATTTGCGATAAGTCTTTCGTGATGCTGTTTACTAAGTTGGATGTAACGTTTCAGCGAATTAGAGCTCGAATGTCCTGTGATTTTGATAGATTCCTGTTCACCTACTCCTCTGCATAAAAGTTCACTGACTGCAGTTGCTCGATTTGAATGGTTGGTTATTTTTTGCTTTTTTATATCAAGCCCTATATTATGAGCTGATGTTTGGTCCATTTACTGATCGTATTAATCCCTATAGGAATATTTTTGTACCAAGGAGTGCAGTGATCACCGGACTTCCAGTGTCCATTCACAGTAAGAAACAACCTATTAGATTTTACATTATTATCTCGTTTCGAAATTAACTTTTTATAAAGTCTCACGGGGCACATTGCTGGATTTTGCACATTTTTAATCAACCATCGCTGACCACCTCCTTGGCAAGTTTTTGAAAAAACTGTATTATATTCGATTCTACCGGTAGGCGCCCCCTTATTACTAATTCTTCTTTAAAATATTCTAACAAACAATTTGCAGCTTCACATCCTCTCCAAGCAAGGTCTACCGCTGCGATATGGAAAAATTTCTTGTGGAGTCCTGTGAGTGTATCTTCATCCCATTGTGTATATATCACTTGATGTTCTTCATAGGTCAACGGTACTGAACTGATTTTTCGTTTCTGTGAGTTACCTTGAAGCAACTTACGTTTTGGATCTAGTGCATTTCTTGCCGATTGAAAAATGATATCTTTGAATGGGTCGAAACTCCGTGAATAGTCATTATAATATTTTTCATGCAATAATTTAGCACTCGTATTCCACATCGTCTTTACGACACATTTCTTGTAAACAGAACCATCAATTTTTCTCATGTTGAAGCTCCAGTCCTTTAATATAAGAGCTAGTCTTTCAACAGGCGTTGCTTCTTCTAATACGTATTCCCGTTCATCGCAAAAACTAGTAAATTGCTTCCCAACGTACTCCTTCGATTTCTTTGTATTTTTCGGTACATTTTCATTAATTTTTCCATTGATTAATTCGATGGAATTTATCCTAAATCTGCTCATTTTTAAATGCGTGCACGGCGGAATTATCTATATTTAACGTTTAACTGTCACATAAACAATCTGAAAACTCGGCTGAAAACACCGAACTTGACAGGTCAACCAGGATCAAGAGTTAAGTTTGGTGTTATCGATAATCCGAACTTGACTAGAACCCGAGAATGGTTATTCTCGGCTAGAACTCCTGATTGGTTCATTTGATAAGTGCGTGAAATAGTCGTATTAAGGCCTCGGGTCCAACCGCGTTGACTCGAAGCAAGTTTGGAAGTAAAAAATTATTAGGTTTTCAAAACGTAACGTTTATTTGGGTTCCTCTAAAAGTAAGATGGACGAAATTAGATAAGAATTAAAAATGAGATTTATAGATCAGATCTGTGTTTCGGAAGAAGTTTTGTCAATTGCCAGAACTTCAAGATCAGTTACAGCCGCTCGAAAAGCATTGAAACTTCAAGATGAATCGCGTTCTCTTTTCTATTTGATAATAAAGAACACCGTCCAAGATCGATCCACTTATCATGATATATGAGAAGCATTGCTTAGTCTGAGGTAGCATGTACAGAAACTAGCCATGCCCAAGATAGAAAGCAACAAAATTGGAGGATAATTAGAAACATGATGGAGGTAATCTTCCAACATATCGAGGTTAAAATACTGGTCTGAAGTCATTCGACTATGCTTCGTCCATGCTTTAGCAAAAACCGTCCCTTCTTATTTCAATGCAATTGGAAGTTGTAGAAAAGGGTGCAGTTGCTGATACAACCATGCAGTTTCAGTAACAGTTCCTTGAGAAACTATTTCTTAAGAAGGGGGCAATGTCATATAACCATCTTAAGACAACTCTTTTCCGCTCGCCGTTGCAAGCCGCTTCGTCCCCTTCGATCCGCAGGACACAGGAAAATGCTTTTCTTTAAAAGGCTACCAGAAAAAGCGTTACGCGACCGTTGAGTCATAGATGACGAAATTCCAGAATTTCTAGACGGTTAATAATGTTCTAGTGCAGAGCGGGCTTTATATTAAAAACGCGAGTTTTTATTTAAGAGTTGGACAGTAAAGACAAATTAGAATTGTGAGTTATAATAGTGCCCAAGTTTTAAATAAATTAAATTTGTGATTTTCAATATTGTGACTTTGACATCGCATTTGTTGTCAATAATCCGTCCAACTGCGAGATCGAGTAACTCGACAGGCGTCAAGCGACAGAGAAGGCGACCAAAAACGGTCTCTTTACGCCTGAACACATGTAATTATATGAAAAACATTTGGGATAGCGCGATCGACGACAGCACTTTTAACACGGCAGTATTTGATGCTTGCTGCCTGTCGTCCATCGTCTTACTAAGTCTCGTCTTCCCAAATGTCGCCTTAAAGGTTCTATGGACCAAAGATGATTTTAACTGAAAAAGTCTCATATTATGATTTCGACATTTAAATCATAGAATTGAATTTAGTTCTTTTTGTAAACGCATTGTTTCATTTAATTAGTAATATCTTTTATTTGCTTTTCTTGTCCTGAACAATCGTTAAAAAATATATCGTAAAATAATATATATTTATTGGTTCGATATTAATTGATTAGCAAAGTAGGTAGGTACATAAGAAAAAGTAAAATTGTTAAAGTGATAAATAAAGTCTTAATATAAACGTAATTTTTTAACAGACTAGTGTTCGTATTTAACGAACTTTCTTGAAACCGGCTATTAATGTTCTATATACTTACTAGAATATGAATTCAGGCACGTTAAATCAGCTAAAGTACATTGAAAATATTGATTATTTTCATTCTCGTAAACAGTTACAAAATTGTAAGGAATACATTGACACAGTGCTACAATGCTACTTATTTTACATTCCATTATGCAATTGCTATAACTGTAGCTTCCAAAGATTGTATGAACTTCATCTCTAAACAGACATTTTCGCTAAAAATGCAAACATTAGGAAAAATAAAACTATTTCTCTGAATTAGAGAAGTATTTTTCAAAATATAGATTTTTAATAAATTTACTTAAATTGGGATATCCTAATACTATGTTTAATTAAGCACACAAAGGCATCTGCCTAAAAGACTTGTCCCCCTTGGAAATTTTTTAACGGCGCCCATGCGTACCGAAACTGGGCCTTTCCCAAAGACATTACAACTATAAATTGTTTACATTTTTATGTTGTAACTCATTATTCCCACCAGATTCTCGTTTATTGCGTCTTTGCCGGTTTTATCAGTGTGTAAAAATTATTTGGAAAAATTACTTTCGAAAAATAAAATTTGATGTATCCTATAACTATAACTTTATATTATATTAATAAAAATATGTTTTTAATCAAATTGTTCTTTAAAGTTTTAATATAAGCTAATTTCTTTATTAAAAATCAATATTAATCTAAACAAAATATTAGGGTTGCAGAGAACTCCGTAAATACGGCAACGTTGAATATCTTATTTTACGAATTTACAACTAGTACCTATTTTTATGAATGAAATGTAGTTACCGTAACCAGCCGCAACGTTGCCAATCGGGTCTAACAGCTATTTAGTGTTTCTGACAGTTTCTGTGTGACTAATTGATTTATTCATATATAAAATACTATTTTTGGAAACTTTTGTGAGAAATATGAAGAATTATGGTATATGCATGTGTTCAATAAGGTAGATCATTTAAATCGAAATTTATCCTTTCATCGCTACGTATTTTTAGATTAGGATATGTTGTTTTCATTTGAACCAGTGGAGTAGGGCACCCGTCTTAAGACTGTTTTGACTATACAATTTCTTGTACAAGATTTGATACGATTTCTTATAGAATTTAAATTGTATAGGATCACATAGTAAATTGTTTGAAAAATGATTATCCAATCTAATTTTTCTGACAATTTACTGCAGGTTTGATAATATACAATTTAAATTGAACAAGAAATTGTATCAAAAACTTGTGTAGTCTAAAACAGTCTTAAAACAGATTTTAAAGTGATATTCCTTTTATAAATTAGTAAATTATTCTTATACCAATAAATAATTATTGAATAGTCGCAAAGAAAATTTAACGTAAAATGTAGAATACCTTAAAAATGATTTACCTATTAGGCACCTATATATATTTTTAATATTCTATTTAGGTTTCCACAAGATCCTGAGAAAAGAAAACTTTGGTTTTCTCTAGTAGGGATCCTTGAAAATCAGCCCCTTCGTAAAAACCCAGAGTTGTATTCAGAACACTTTTTTCCTGAAGATGTTTTGGTACGTGCAAATGGTGCTTAATATATCAGAAAAGATGCAAACCCCAGACGGTGTGAGGGCTTTCTAGTATGAGAGCCCACTGAAAATTTCGAACGTCATCTGATAACGAAATAAAATATGCTCCAAAGGCAACTAACAACATTGTACTTTACCAAATTGCACCTGTGCCAATCCCTATCCTGAGCTAAGTGGTTAAAAAAATTATTTTATATTCAAAAAATCACATAAGACATGACAGCGACAATTGTGTTTTCTCTGAAAATTACAACCCTAAATCATTGTGAACCTAGCTTTTAAACTTGAATTATTAATATTTTTACCTACCTTTTAAACCATGTTTATGTGTGTTTTTTTAAGCCACTTCGCTCAGGATTGGGATTGGCACAGATGCCATTTGGTAAAGTACAATGTTTTTACATGTTTTTGGGGTATATTTCATTTCGTTATCAGATGACGGTAAAAATTTGCAGTGGGCTCTTGGGCTATTCTATTTTTGGTTGACTTATCCAACAGGTAAAAATACAAAATGTAAATTTTTTGTTTACCTCTAAACATTATTTATTACCTATATGTATGTATATCTAATGTATGGGTTTTTAGTTCTGATTCAACTGTTTTTGAAACACCACCTGCCACAAAAAAACATTGAAGTAAGTAATAACACTAATAACTAAGCATAAAAAATTAAATGAAATTTTAGTTGGGTTACGGTTTTTTTTTTGGTTTATTATTGTGTTTTACATTTTTCTAGGACATTTTTCTATTTCTCTGCTATAATAGGAGTTATCCTCCTTTTCAGGGTAGTCTGCCCTGATTACAAAAGTAACCTAGCTAGCTTTTTCCTAATGGTGTCGTGTGCGCGTGTGGGACCTGTGTGGCAGGTTGTGTTCCCCAAAAATATCACCAATTTTGCTATTTCCAACCCCATAAATGGACAAGTCCAAGTATAGGGTGGGGAATATGATTTAGGAAAATTACAGAAGCTAAATCACGATATTGTACATATATTGTGAATTTCTAATTATATGATTGGGAAAGGTTTATCTGATGCTTAGGGGGGCCTGATTCCAGCAGATCCTGGAGTTCAGCGGTGAGAGAGAGAGAGGTCTTGGGAGTCTGAGAAAAGTCTCAGATTAGGTTGTGGCATTTTTTTTTTTTCGGTTTTCGAAAAGAGGATGTTGGTTAGGGCGCCATGGGGTTTGCAGAGCGTCTTGGGAGTGTGTGTTGGTGCCTTTCAGCGTGCGAGAGATGTATTGTTTCCTGAGGGTTTGGAAACGTGTGAGGATGGGGGTGTTGGAGATGTTTTCAAAAACTTCTTCGCTGGGGAAGCGAAAGGGGAGATATTGGCAACATCTGAGAATACGTTTCTCGAGTATGATGAATTTTTGGGACAGGTGTGTTGTAAGTACGCCGTAGGGTACAGCTCTGTATTCGGCAACGAGTCGGATGAAGGAATTGTAAGTGTGTATAAGGGTGTTTGTGTTGCAATGCCCCATTTGTCCGCACAAAGCTCCAAGGAGACTGGCTCGTTTTCGCATTTTATCAAGAGTGCGTTGGACATCCGAGGACTAGCTAAGTGTACGAGAATATTGTACCCCCAAATAGTCAACTTTAGTCTGTTGAGCGAGCCTGACTCCCAGGAGATTTATATTTACGAGTTCTGGGAGGTTCTTTGAGAATTTGGGTGTGACGATGAATTGTGTTTTCTGTGGATTTAATGAGACCCTTCATCTGCTACACCAGTGGGAGTACTGGTTTAACAGATTTTTTGGTTCGAGTATTTATTTGGTTAAAATTCTTGGCTACCGAGATTAGAGCTGTATCATCGGCGTATAGGAGGCATTTGGATGTAGAGTGGTTTGGGGCTGGGGGAGAAATTTTAGTTTATAAAATTAAGGTATTAAATATATTTAAAACGTTATTTTAAAAATTTTAACAGTTTTTTTACGATATTTTTTGCCATGTTTTTTTGTAATTAATAATTAAAAAATAATATATTTTTAGGACAGTGTTTCATTTACATACCCCTACCTACTTAATGTTAATTTAAGATTTTAAATAATTTTGGTTAACATCATACCAGGCAAATATATAATAAATGCCAATAAACTAAACCAATAGATATTAAAAATCGGAAGGTTACTTGAATTCTCTTGTATTTGAATTTACTTGTACTTGAATTTACCTACATGAAAAAAATCATCATAATTATATTACTAAAAAAATATACCTACTTATTTACGTATTTTTTTAACATACTACTCTGACAATACTGGTAAGTTTATAACTCTACGCCACTGGCGAGCATATTATGGACACTATTTACAACGTTGCCAGCCGGTCCTAAGAGATCTGTCTTTCTCTCTTCCACTCACTAACAATTTTAAAACAATAACAGTCCGTAATTGTATGGGATATATGAATGAAACGATTTTGTCTCTATGTTGTAATGTCTTTGGCCTTTTCCGTGCGCGCGAGACAATTCGTTCTATGGCGTACACTTGGAGCAGGCACAGAAGTTAAAAAGGCATTTGGTAGATAGAGAGAAGGTTAACGTCAAACCTCGTCGGCCTACTTCAAAAATTTTACGGTAATTGTTCGCCAGTGTCATATCATTGAATAAAAATAATACCAAACATTTTACATTGTTATCTGCGAAATCGGACAATAAAATCTATTTATGGACTAGAAATGATTATTTAAACAAGTATTAATATCCCCAATCATAATTCTACAAAACTTCAACAGCTACGAGTACTACAATTTAATAATATATTTAACCAATTTAAATAATTTTTTGTGCCATTGTATTGTGTTCACTTCGGTTAGCTCCACGGCAAAACTGTCAAATCCTGTATATGAAGTGGAAGAACTGACAATAGTTTGATATTGCAATAAGAGTGGAAGAGTGGATTCGAGTTATACAGTATATTTTTTCTACAACCCACTAACAAAAATCTACAAATAATAAAAATTGTTATCGGATATTAAGATAAAATAACTTATTTAAAAAGAATTTAATACTTTTACTAATTCATAAAATAAAACAAACAAACAAACAAGCAAAAAGAGAAAACGATTTCATTTAATTTGCCCCCATCTTAGATTTGAACCCGCGGTTTTCGCGTGAAAGGCAAGTGGGCTGACCTCACCACCATCTATCCGCTCAAAATTTTTTGCTGTTTTATTTAAATTAACAAATTATTTATAATTATAATAATTATAAATAAAAATAGAAATACTTTTATTTATCGATTCTACGCAAGAATAATTCATTTTAATGTATATTTTTCTCAACTAGAAAATATATTGACAATTAGTTTGAGAGAATTGTCACTTATTTAAAATTTTAAAAATAATAGCAGTCGGTTTTCCAAAATATGAACTGTGATCGGTGGATTTTATTTTGTTTGCAGTGTTTCTCACTACCTAACTTGATATGAAATATATTAGTTCAGTTGAAGGCAATAGCACCCTTTTTTGTTTTGTAGTATGTGCGTAATTAATCTTATATCCATGTGGGTGTAGAAAAAACTCTTTCCAATTTCTGTCCCGGCTTCACAAAAAGTGTGAAAATTTGCCATGTTTGATTTTTCTTATTTTAATTAAATAGATTTTTATCAAGTAAAGGCCGAAACAATTAAGAACCGAAATGTAAATTAATCACATTAGAAGAACTTGCACTTGGAAACAATTGTCATGAAGAATTTTTAATTTTTATTGTTTAAAAATAAAAGTGTTTGTGAAAATCTACTAAGTTTGGTTTTTCTCATTAAATCAGTATGAATTTTCTTCAAGTAAAGGCCGAAACAATCAATAATTGCTATTTTAGCGAACGGTAAAGTAACAGTTTTCCGCTGCGTACGCACAAGAAAGAGTTTGTTCGGTGCAGCTGCTTCAAAAATATTACGAAAAGAGGTTGATATCAAAGAGGCGTAACGAAAAGTGATTTACATACTTTGGTTATAGGATACTTTTTAACTTCTGCAGTAGTAATGGTTTTTACAGAAGCAATTCTTAATATTTTTTCTGTTCCTTTATCGAGGATTTTTTCTGTTAAACCACCTGATACCGTGTCAGGAAAATCAGTGGCTAATGATATTAAAATCTAAAAAATAAATAAAACAATTATTATTGCAAATGTATATTGTCTCATCTTTTAAGATTTAGTTTTATAATTTGGAAGGGATAATTTCACATATCTCAAAGAATGGTGCATTATTATTGTGTAGTTTCGTTTGTTGCGTGTACGAGCGACTTTTACTATTCACTCCAACACAAGCAGAGAAGGACCGAAGTAACTGGCGTATTTGGAAAACTTCTGCAATTAAAATCTCTTACAGCATAAAAGATCTTGAAAAGTACTTCAAATATCGTCCACGCTATACAAAAGATGATTTAGAAGAAAACCTATGCGACAAAATGACTTAAAAAAGTTGTGGCCGCTGCTATTGGCAACAAAAAGCATGAGACCGGCTGGGCAGAAGAAGAATAAAATACATTTGTCTATGATTGGCAAACTGCCAAACACATTTTAGACGATGACAAAATAAGATGGGCAATATCCAGCTTCTCTCCATTCAAATCGCCAAAGATCCCTACCTCAGCAGATCTACTGATTTAGCAATTCACCTAGTTGCTGACCGGATAGAAAGATTCTTGGACAATAAGGAGCCCGCCTTGGGTGTTTTCATAGACATAGGACGTTTATATTGACCTTTGGCAGTTTGCACAATAGCAAGGCGGGCTATATTATCTGATCCAAGAATTAATTTAACAATGCGCCCCAGAATCCATTCTAAGGGGGAAGTAGTTTCATTTTTAATGAGAACCATGGTACCAGAAGGCACAAGGGATATTAAAGAGTCCCATTTAATTATTTTCTCCAATGTGTATAGATATCCTTTGTGCCATCTATTCCAAAAATCTCCATGAAAACGTTGTATAAGTTGCCATCGCGATAACCGATTTATGCTAAGATTCGTAAAGTCCGGATCTGGTAATGCCGATAACGGTTCAACGGCAAGAAAATGACCAGGCGTCAATACAGCTAAGTTATTTGGATCAGAACTCATCGCGCACAATGGATGTGAGTTTAAGACGGCTTTAATCTGAGTTAAGACCGTACTTAGTTCTTCAAACGTAAGAATTTGAGTCCCAATTAATTACTCTAATTAAATGAGATTTAACCGATTTTACGTTTGCTTCCCATATTCCACCTATGTGACTTACCCCGGCAGGGTTAAATTCAGAAATAATGGCTTCTTTTGCGAGTACCTCAGAGAAAATGGAGCGAAAATAATTATTAGCACCTACAAAGTTGGTACCATTATCAGAAACTATCTTCAAACACCTTCCTCATCTTGAAATAAAACGACGAAAGGCTGCTAAAAAGGCTTCCGTGGAGAGGTCGGAAGTCAACTCTAAATGGAGAGCTTCGGTGGCACAACAAATAAATAAACAAACGTAGAATTTAATGGTAACTGCACCGCGTAACCGTCCCACAGCGACAGGAAAGGGCTCACAAAAATCTGCACCTACAATGAAAAAGGCTTTAATTTGTGACACCCGAAATTTTGGTAAATTGCCCATTGCACAGGAAAAGGCCTTGGATTCGGCTTTCAGCATTTGAAACACCGTACTAAAACTTTACGTACCACCTTTTTCGAGGATTTTACCCAGAATGTTTGTGAAAGTAAAAATTGTGTAGTTTGGATGCCTGTATGTGAATAAGTTTCATGTATATCTTTAATAATAAGAGAAGTTAAAGCAGATTTACTAGGTAAAATTAGAGGGAATTTTTTGTCATAATCTAGGTCAGAATTAAATAACCTGCCATCTACCCTTAAAAACCCATTTTCATCTTGAAAGGGATACAATTTTCTGAAACTTTTGGGTAAGGGTTTATTTTCCTTAATCATAGAAATTTCATTTTCAAAGTGAAAATATTGAACATGTTTAACCATAGGTAATACAGCATCATTTAGCTGTTTAATAGTTAAATAACCCATTAATTTATTTTCTCTATTTTTTATATCGAAAATGAAACCCAACATATACCCAAAAATTCGATTTAGTTTTTGAAATGAAGAATTCTTTTTTATCAAACATTAAATATTGTCAAAAGTAACTTTTGTACTTAAAATTATTTTTCTCTTCTCACCGTGAACTTCCGCAGAGTTTGCAGAAGATGAACAAACTGGAAAATTCCAAGTTTCAAAATTTTCAGATAAAAAATGTGGTCCCTTCCACCATAAAGAATTGTTTATTAATTCTGAGGGCAGAAGGCCACGAGTACCTAAGTCATTTGGATTAAGGGATGATGGCACATGATACCAATTAACAGGAAAAACGATATCCTGTAAAAATGCGACCCTATTACTTACAAAAGTTTTCCATTGATGCGCTGAACTTTTAATCCAACTAAGTACAATTATACTGTCAGTAAAGGCAAAAATATTGTCAAAAGAAATTTTCTCTTTATAAGACTCCATAATGAATTTCATTAATTTTGTCAATAGCACGGCACCACACAGTTCCAATCAGGGTAGTGATAATTTCTTTAAGGGTACAACTTTTGATTTGGCACAAATAAAAAATGATTTAGTACTACCATCTTAATAAGCAGCTCTTAAATAAATTACTCCACAGAATCCACGTTCAGAAGCATCCGAACATCCTATTAAAGAACACGATACGGCATGGATGACCTTTATAAGACGCGGAATTTTAAAATCATGAAAGCAACAAAGTTCATTTTTAATCTGTTCCCATTTCATTAAAACAGACGAAGGAGGGGATTCATCCCTAGCTAATCCAAGGCTCCATAAATGCTGACTTAAAAATTTAGCAAAAATTGTGATAGGTGTCAGAATTCCAAGCGGGTCAAATATCCTCGCAAGTTCTGACAATATACCTCTCTTTGTACACGGTTTTTCAAAAAAAGAAAAATTATAGGAAAATTCATCTTCAGTAGGACTCCATCTGAGACCTAGAATTTATAATACATTATTGCCTTCAGAATCAAAAGATAAGCATTGATTTTGAATATATGATTCAGGTAAATCGGCAAGTAATTGACTTTCATTTGAAGCCCATTTTTTGACCTCAAAACCGGCCCTGCTCAATAATTTAATTAACTGGTTCTTCATTGCAAAAACCAATTCGACACCATCACTTCCGGTAACAATGTCGTCTACATAAGTAGACTTCAATAAAATTTCAGAAGTGGTAAATCATCATAATCGTTAGCAAGTTGCAACAAAGTTTTTATTGCTAAATATGGGCTGCTGTTTATACCGAAACTAACAACATTCAACTCGTAATCTAACAACGGTTCGTCATTAGAGAAGCGCCATACAAGACGCTGGTATTGTCGATGTTCCGGAGTGACTAGTATCAATCTATACATTTGTTTTATGTTACAAGTGAAAACATAAGTATGAATACGAAAATTCAATAAAATGTTTACCAAGTCCTGCTGCAACTTCGGACCGGTATACAAGGCATCATTTAAAGAAGGTTTATTTGGGGCATGACTGGAAGCATCAAACACAACACGCAGAGGCGTACTACTAGAATTCTTTTTAATTACGGCATAATGCGCTCTGTAAAAATAATTATTTATTTCTTTCGGAGACGGAACTGGGACCACCTGTATGTGTCCACTTTGTGCGTTTTTCTAAAGAGAAGAAACGCTTAACGGCAATAGACCGGGTATCCCCGAAGTCAGTTGCATGTGATTTCAATGGTAACCAAACTATATATATATACCTATGTCATTTCTGGTAGTAGTTTTCGAAAAATATTTTTCGCAATATTCAGTTTCAGGGAAGACTATTTTATTGAATGAAACTTCCTCAGTGTTCCAAAATAATTTTAAAGTTTCATCTAAATTAGTATCACTTGAAGTTGTAAAGAATGCATGAATTTCAGGAGATACTAAAGATGGATTTGACAAAGGAATTTTAACAGTAATCATCCATCCAAAAATGGTATTTAAAATTACAGGTTTATCTTTTCCTTGATAAATACGACCTTCTTCTAAAACGTAAGGACACACATCCACACCTAGAAGTAAATCAATATGACTACTTTCATTGAAACTACGATCTGCCAAATTTAAGTTGGTTATATTTGAAACAATTTCTTTAGAAAAAGTAGTATTTGGTAAGTTACCACAAATTGTATCAACAATTACAGCCCCAAGTTCAATTAACTGATGCAAAATAGTAAGAGGTTCAATTTTTATAAAAACACCTAAATGCGCAGAGGTCCACATTTTTTCTAATCCAGGTAGATTTAAAGCAATCTTAATTTTTGGCAAACCTAAATTATATTTGCTAAATATTTTGAAATAAACGAAGATTGCGCCACCCCATCATGCAAGTACGCCTCTGATAGTGTGCCAGTTACCAAAGTTATCCAAATCTTTGACAAGCACAGTAGTAGCCAAACATCATGATTATCAAGTAGCATTCCTTCATTTACAGGTTTTGTTGGGGTTTGCACGCTATTTAATTAAAATTAAATTACTAGAGAAAATACTAGGGTTAACGACGGTTGATTTTTCTAGGGGTACTGCATTCATTAAAATGGTATTATTAGCGGGTGAAACAAAGTGCAAAAGGCTATGATGACATTTTCGGAAGAATATTTCTTCAAAGAATGTACATTTGATAAACAATTCACACATGCCTTATGTTTTTTAATGATTTCATATCTTTGTGGAGGTGTCTTTTCTAAAAAATTAGGACACCTATAAACCATGATTTGATTTAGACACAAAACACTCTAATTGCTTTTTACCGGTATTTACCAGTAAAGCTGACTTGGACCGCGAAGGTATTTGAGTATTGTAATAATTTTTATTACGAGGGGAAGTCGAAAAAGTAGATTTTTCCAAAACATGTGTTTTAGACAATTTTCTCTTATTTGAACAAACAGACTCTGAGGCAATACATTGCTGTAACGCTAGTTTCTTAACTTCAGAAAAAAGAGGAATCTCATTTAAAGCATGGTTTTGTCCAAAAAGCATTCTAGTTTGTGAATCCAATCTATCCAAAAACATCATGCTGAGAATAAAGTCCCATTGTCGAGTATCAAATCCCATATTCTTTAAGGATAACTCATTTTAATCAAATGTCTCAATAAGATTGCGCAGACTGCGAGCATTTCTTTGAGAAAGTGGCTGAGAAAGTGGCGATGTATTCTCAATAGAATTCCAATATGTGGATGCCAACAGACGTTTATTCGTATATCTTTTGACTAGAGTGTCATAAGCGATAGGATAATTATCCCCAATAAGTTTAATACTACTTATATAAACAAGAGTGTTTCCTCCAAGAGCTGATTTCAAATAATTAAATTTTTCAATATATTACTATTTGAATGAATTAAAGCGTTGAAAGTTTCAATAAATGTAGGAAATTCAATTATATCTCCAGAAAATTTCTAATGGGGTGGGTAGCTCAGTGGTAGAGTCTCTGCCTGTGGATCCAAGTGTCCCAGGTTCGAATCCCACCGTTGCATAGAGGGGCAAGGTTAGACAAAATTCACCAGAAACTCTAGAATGAAAATTTAGGTAACTGACAAAAATAACTACGGCAAACTTACTAAAATAAATCCTTCTTTCGAAGTCACAATAGCCTTGGATTGTCCGCGTGATAAAACAAAAGATAAAGCTTTTCAAAAAAAACGTTTTAAATGCGTATATTGCTGTAATTTTTTAAGTGCAAATAATATTGATAAATTCGGTCTACTCTTTGTGCTATAATAATCGAATTAACTTTGATAATAATGATTCAAAATAATCGACGTGATAAGTAGATTGTTATTGTATAAAAAAAAGTATAGCAGTGTTTTACTGTTATTCCATGGAGGCATTTTTATGAGTTCTGCAAAAATTAACAAATTGATTTAGACCTAGGATTTCTTTTAGGGGGTCTGAAAACGTTATGTTCGGATTATGCATACAATACTGCATATTTATTTTATTTATTATTTTTTTATTATGTGTATAATTTTTTAGCTTCAATGCGACGGAAATTTATTTCTTATCCTAAATTTTCCCTAAAATTGTTCAGAAGTAAATTGCTGACTTACCTTTACAGGGGCTTCAGTAGCGAGAGTAGTAAAAAATGTATCTGACGAATTTGATTGAATTGTGAATTTTAAAATAGATCTTGTTCCAAATTCGATTGGTTTGTAGTTATTTTCAATTCTAAAAAATAATTTCTTTACTATGTAACATCTTAGATAATACGCATAAAATAGTCGTTGGCAGAATATATGGTTGCCTTTTGTCGATTAAATGGACCCATGTGTTTATTTTTATTTATTATAGATATATCAAAGTTACTGTTATTGCAATTTGTAATATACTTAAATGTAAAACGAAAGCAGCTTCTTATCAACTACTAATAATTTGTTAGAAACATAAATATTCTGTAGGATTTCGGATACTCATCCTTTCTTTTTTTTTCTTTCCCACCTAGGAACCCTTTAAAGACATTTTATATCTCCTAGAAAATCAGTAATTCAATAGTGCTAAATGAATTTAATTTTTTTTACTTTCCTATCTGTATACAGATATAAGGAAAGTATAGGAATCATGATTTTTTTCGACCTCGAGTTTTCGACGGATTTTTACGTTTTGAGGTCCCCTGAATCCGTTTTGACTATTTTCGCGATGATGTCTGTGTGTGTGTCTGTGTGTGTGTCTGTGTGTGTGTGTGTGTGTGTGTGTGTGTGTGTGTGTGTCTGTATAACGCATAACTCATGAACCGATACACGGAAAAACACCAAATTTCAAACTTAAGCTTTATTCCAGCGTCTAATGAGCTGATTAGATTTTGGGCAGAGTCGGAACATCTGGGGGGGTACTTTATTGGTGGTCATTTTTGTATTTTATGGAATATATCTGTTATTTACGTTTGGGGAAGAAATTTTTTTAAATAAAAGTTACTTCTTATTTTATTATCTATAATTTTTGTCATTTACAAAATTTTCCTAAAATGGTCCGTATTCGAGAAATTTGACAAAATGTAAAAAAATATTTTTTTTTATAAAAATTGTTCAAACAAAAGTCGTTTGTAATATAATTCTCTATAATTTTTGTCCCATAGATAATTTCTCTAAAATGGACCGTATTCGAGATATTTGAGAAAATGTGTAAATTTCGAAATTTGAAGAAAACTCAAAAACGGATAAAGAAAAAATCAATAAATTTTAAACTTAAGTTTTATTTCGGCCTGACGTGAAATGATTAGATTTTGGACAAAGTCGGAACATCTGGGGGGGGGGGGTACTTTATGGGAGGCCGTTTATATATTTTATGGAATATATCTGTTATTTATGTTTGGAGAAGAAAATTGTTCAAATAAAAGTTACTTCTAATATTATTATCTATAATTTTTGCCTTATGTAAAAATTTCCTGAAATGGTCCGTATTCGAGAAATTTGACAAAATGTGCAAAATTCTGATTTTTATGAAAATTGTTGAAATAAAAGTTGTTTGCGATATCGATCTCTATAATATTTGTTCATACATGATTTTTTTTTAAATGGACCGTAATGGAAAAATTGTAGGAATAGTGCTAAATTTAAATTTTTCAGTATTTTCATTTTCAATGAATATCTATAGAAAAATGTTTCGCGGTAGATGTATGTGGACAATGTATATATATTTAGTTTATCCTCTAAACATTTATAGAGATGCTGCAATAGGTTGTACACAATAAACGGAAAAAGCCTGTAATAACTAGATAGGAAAGTCATGTGTTGGACACATCAGATTTTTATAATTGTTATTTTATTCTATTGAACAGTTTTTAAAATAAGACATTGTTTCTTAGGTACATGTGTGCAATGCACTTCGATTCATCATGCTATGTTATTCTTTTATTGCGACATACTGGCAGATAATGTTGCCTGTACAAGATCTAGTTCATTTAAAATAACGGTAAAAGGTCGAGAAACGCCAGACGAGATCACTTGTCCCCTACGTATTTTGGGGCGCTGATTATGAAAATCGGGGTTAAAACTTGCAGCAATGGTTGAACCACCACTAAAATTACAAAAAACACTCCTAAATTGGGGCGTTTTTTGTACTTGTTGTTTTGTAAACTAACTCATCTCATATGTTTTTTGGGTCGCTGATTTCGAAAATCGGGGTGTCAAGACTGGAAAATTTGTGTGATACCCCCCACATTCCAGAAAACCCCCTCCCAACCGGTGGATTTTAGGGGTGGTTCAACCATTGCTGCAGATTTTAATTCCGATTTTCGTAATCAGCGCCCCAAGAAACATATGAAATGAGTTAGTTTGCAAAACAACAAGTACAGTCAAAAAACACCCCTATATAGGGGTGTTTTTTTGTAACTTTAGGGGTGGTTCAACCATAGCTGCAAGTTTTAACCCCGATTTTCGTAATCAGTGCCCCAAAAAAACATATAAGATAGCTTAGTTTGCAAAACAACAAGTACAGTCGAAAAACACCTCTATATATTGGTGTTTTTTGCAATTTTAGGGGTGTTCCAACCATTGCTGCCAGTTCTAACCCTCATTTTCGTAATCAGCGCCCCAAAATACGTAGGGGACAAGTGGTCTCGTCAAGTGCGACGTTTCTCGACCTTTTACCGTTATTTTAAATGGACTAATCTTTCATTCTCTGTCTCTTTAAAAAGTTCCATCATACATAACTTAGACAGTAAAAATAACACGTAGTATTTTTGTTGGGTAGTTGGGTACAGAAGAGGGGGTTAACAATATGTACTATATCCCGGTGGTAAGAGCTGTCGCATGACCTGTCAAATTTCAAAGTAAAGTCTAATCAATGGATTCGTTTTTTTTTGCTGACAGTAAAATATATGTTTTTAAACATCTTTAACAAAAAATCTGATGTGTCCCATACATGACTTTCCTGTCTAATTATTACAGGCTTTTTTTCGGTTAGTTTGTACAAACTATTGTATCATCCCTGTAAATACATACATTTTTCACACACATCTTACTCGAAACATTTCTAAAATATATTAATTGCCAACGAAAATACTGAAAAATTAAAATTTTACACTTTTCCAAAATTTTTCGATTACGGTCCATTTTGGAGAAGCCATGTATGAAACATCAGAGAGAATGATATAAAATTATAAAACAAAATTATAGTGAATAATACAACAAAAAACTTTTATTTGAAGAGTTTTCTTCTCCCAGTGTAAATAACAGATATATTTCATAAAGTAGAAGAATGACTTTCTATAAAATACCCCTCAAATGTTCTGACTATGCCCAAAATTTAATCTGTTTACCTCAGATGGATTAAAGTTTATAGCAAGAAAAAAAACACGACATGCCATATTGGCAACAGATTCACTTTGGGTTAATCGAAGTTTATTAAATAAATTAGTTTGCTATTTAATTATTTTTATGTGTTTATTGTTCTGGTGACCATAAAAATATAGACCATTAAACTTTAGAGTCTTGAGGCTTTTTGTACAAAACTAGCTCTAATTATTATTTGATAATGAGTATAAACATACACAACTGGTGAAATTTTCACAGTGCTTCTTTGCGATACATAGTTAAAAACACAACAATATCCATCCATGGTTAGTTCTGTCACAAAAAGGTCCGAACAGTTTTTAAATCTACCCTGCCATTTACATTCTGTTAGTAATTCTTCGCAAGTAGGCTGTAGCTGAAAAACCAATGAAGTATTATTTATCAAAAATTCCTCACGACACTTGTCACCAAGATAAATGATCATTAGGAATCTTTTAATAATCTGTATATTTTATAAGAAAAAAAAAATAATGAAATAGTATGCGAAAACCTGCAATATTTTTTTTGGACCTGTTTTTTACATAATCTTGTTCTACCTATTAGGAAAAAAATACTACCAAAGATCAGGCAGCCGCCAATAATTTGAGACTCGTCTTATAATTAAAAATAATTTACGTCTTAGATTAGACTGAAAATCTTCTTGATATCAGAAAAGCATAATTTTTAAAAATATTATGTAAACGAAGTGGTGCCATGGACATTATTGTTCAAGATTCCAGCAAAACACAACAAACAATCAGTAAATTGAAGTCCATTTTTCCACAAGTCAACTGCCTGATCCTTTAGCATATTAATTTAAGCAAAAATTATAAAAAGTGCTACTTTTTATTTACTTGGTACAGTCTCTCAGTAGTGTTGTAGTAACCGTTAGGTGTAGAGTCATATTTTTCAAGAAAATTTTGAAAATGTATTATTTGTTCAGGATTAGGGGGTATGTTATACTCGTATAAATATCCTAAAAGTGAAATGTTTTTCATAATATCATCTCTTGGTACTCCAGATATTGTAGATCTAAAAAACATCCAAAAGTTAGCAAAATTAGTTACGAAATATTATTAAAGTAACATTACTAAGAGAAATAGCGGTCATCTATAACTGTATCTATAAGGTGAGGAGAGTAGATTGCCTCAGCACTAAGACCTATTGTGCATTCTCCTAATTCGATTCAGTCTCTCTTAGCTCATCAGCAGCCTACAGACTTAATTTAGTTAACAGCGTCGCTGAGAGGTCCTTCTCTTATAATGTGATAGTGTTAGACAGTACTTGCTGAACACAATTATTCTAATAGATGAGAGATTGTCGAACAATCGTAGATGATATGTTTGATAAATATCATCTTGTTTGCCCCCTTATATAATATGTCCCCCTAGGTTGGAATCATATGGAAAACTTTTTTATTAATAATTTTAAGAAACAAAGTTATTCTTCATAAAAAGTTCCGCATTATCTAAAACCTAGAATGCAGTCGCCAAATATCAATTTTTTTCAGTGGTATACGAGGTTTGTCAAAAAATATTAGTTTTACTCAAGAGTAAAGTACCTTTATTCTTTATACGACTAATAAAATTTGATATTTGATGGTTGTATTTTAGGTTTTAGACCATGCTCGACTTTTTACAAAGAATAACTTTTTTCCCAATATTAATAATAAAAAAAAAAAAAAAAATTATATGCCGCCAATTTACGTAAACAGTTGGTGGCATAAGAAAGCTTTTTTAATACTAATTTTAGGAAAAAAAGTTGTTGTTTATAAAAAGTCAAGCATGGCCTAAAACCTAAAATACAACCATCAAATATCAAATTTTATCAGTCGTATAAAGAATAAAGGTACTATACTCTTGAATAAAACTTATATTTTTTGACAAACCTCGTATACCACTGAAAAAATTTGATATTTTATGACTGCATTCTAGGTTTTAGATAATGCAGAACTTTTTATGAAGAATAACTTTTTTTCCTAAAATTAATACTAAAAAAGTTTTTCATATGATTCCAACTTAGGGGAACATACTGTGTATTAAGGAGCCTGGCAGCTACATGCTATGGAGGTGCTTGCGAACTTACAATAACCAGTCAGAATGCTTGTGATGCTGATTCTATCTAGTTATACTCAAGTATAGTCAAGGGTTGTTAGGGCAACTTAAGAGCTTTTAGTTTCATCCTACCTTTTCTTAAATTTCACAAGTGAATGTTCCTTATGTTTGTCATGACTGATTTTGTTAGTCCAAAAAGTATTTGGATGGCTACCTTCTTGGCTAGTGGCTTTCGATATTGCGCGCCTATTGATCTATTTTGAGATGAACACATTGTTGATGGATACTTCGACCATGGCTTAGTGATATTCTAGTACTAACCGTAACTAAATTCGTGATATATCCAGGGTGAATGGTAGTTGTTTGCTATCTGTTACATAAATGAGCATGTTTCTTTTTCCTTGCAGCTTATTTTATATTTAAGTTTAAGAATCTAAACTATATTATCCTGAGACATGTTGTTTTATTTTAGAGCCATCGCGGTATGTACACATGAATCGTGGCTGCCATTTCCGGCTAATAAAGGTGATAAGAACTGTCCAAGAGCTGGTTTAGGTTAGGTTAGGTTAAAAATAACTGCTATGATTTTATCGCCATCTACTCTGGCCTAGATGGAGCTATTGTGGCTCATGTCTAATTTATAGTTCACCGTACAAGCCACACCTTTGAAAAACGGCCATGGTTAAATTGGGTGAGACTTGTTTAAAGTCGGTAAGCTTCAGTCGAATAAATCCAAAGATCTAGAACCTAGTTCTTTTCAAAGTGGAGGATGTTTTTAAAATGTACTCTGCAGATTCGCCTTCCACGCTGCTGAAACGCCAGTCCGATGTTTGTTGCAGACCTATCCTTGTCATGTGGTTACCCAGACGACAATGTTTTGTCATTAGTCCTGTAAACATACATAGATTTTTCCTATTCCATTCCCTGATCTGAGCAGAAGGCTTCATGGGAGGGTTGGTAATTAACGCCTTCGAATGAGTTAGCCTTGGGGTATTTTTCCAGTTTGTTAGTGTTGAATCCTGCGTCCATTTCGAGATAATTCCTTTGCCAGTGCTCTTTGCATTGCCCAGGAATGGTCCTGGTCCTATGAACTCAGATTCGGTTCCTCTTTTGGCGAGCGCGTCGGCATTTTTAATAGCCCTCCATACGCCGAACGCCAAGACACTCAAGGGAACTTTTATAGTTCCAAACCAGGTTTAAGTCAACTCGTTTCGAGCTTAGGTTTAGGTTAGCAATATATGATAAAAATCACAGAAATTTCTGCTATATGAGTATTGCTCTGTTGAACCGGTTACCATCATTATAAAAACAACAAGTCTTGTATTATTTCGAATTTGTTGTGAGAATCAGACAAAACATTAAATCAAATTAAACGAAATGCAAATAGACAAATTTTATTTCCTTTTGCGTCAGCCACGAGGAGCCTGGTTGAAAATATTTATCTTGTTTTGTGTAAATATTTTCCAGATTCATAATCGTCAGCTATCGATAAGTGGACTGTATTGCTTTTTATTATTAGAAATTATCACTATGAATAATTTCTCAGCTTGAAATATCTTCTAAAAATCAGTGGAGAATTGGTTCTGTGTATACTGTATTATGGTTTAGATGAAAAAAATGTTTTAACAAGGGAGGCTTGAGGCCGAATTTTTGGGAGCCATTGTCAGTAAAATTCGCTTTAGCATAGTTTTTTTTAATAAAATGTTGATGGATTGCCCCATTTTTGACATATATTTGTCTTTTTCCATAGTATTTTGAGCAAAGTGAAGTGAAATTCTAAATAAATGTTTTTAAGGCTGCTTCTAGACATGTTTAACAATAACATTACAGTAAGCTAAATTACTATTTGAAGAGAGATAACTAAACGCTTGGAATCGCATGATTTTAATTTTTTGTAACATGTCTGTGCCATTAACGATCGAAAACTAGTCACTGACATTAGAATTCTGCGCAGTAGATTATTAGAACCGCCAAAATATATACTGCGCAATGCTCAGTAATTTGTGATTTATTTCTGATCATTGTTGGAACAGAGCTGTTGTCACCGTCTTGACTGTTCTTTGTTCAAGCTTGAAGCAGCCAGAGGCAACCTAACAAAGAAACATATTTTGATTTATACCTTGTTGTTATTTTAACAGTTATCTTGCGCTTAAATTTGTTACGTCTACAATAATATAATAAATATAAACATAACGCTTACAAATGTTGAGCATATTTTTCGGCCTTTTTTCTACTAATTTTATTAAGACTACAGATTGATATTCCAGGCATTGGCCTCTCTATATTTTTGCTTCCAATAGCCTCGACTGTAGTCACTGTGGGATTTTTCATAAAGTTATTCCAAGTATAAATCATTAAATATAGCGTGCCACCAAGACTAAACATGTGAACCAGATACCAAACATACCTGAAAGAAAATTGATGTATTGAAAAATTCTTGTTTAATAAAATGATAATTTGTCAAAATTAATATATATTACTAGAAAGCAAATAGTTTTAATAGATAACAGGGTAGTGTATTAAACTTTTAAACTCAAAAACTAAAACCCTAAAGGACAACTAGGTACAACTCGAAATTTAGATATTGCAAAAATATCTGGTACACTCGGTATATGTGAGTAAGGAGAAAGGAATAAATCTCCATAGTGTGTAAAATGGACGGCTCCATAACAAAACAGCGCAGGACAAAATGGCGCAGGACAAAATAGCTCAGATAAAATAGCGCAGTACAAACTAGCGCAAGTACAAAATAGCTCTATGGCAAAATAGCGCAAGACAAATAAGCACAAGGACAAAATAGCGAAATAAAAAATAGCAAAGAACAAAATAGTATAGGACAAAATAGCGCAGGACAAAATAGCAAAAGACATAAAAGCACATTTCAATATATTCCAGTATTCTAATTAAAATTAAAAAAAAAACTTAAACTAATTTACCTAACCTGAACGGCATGAAGCGATAGCATGTTGACATAAAATTTAAAAAAATCGTAACTAATTTATCTAACCTGTGCTGACTCGAGCCATCTACAGCAACCCGCCATGGCTGGTTGGGTAAATTAGTTTAATTTTTGAATTTTAATTAGAATACGTGGCATATTTTGTCACGCGTTAATTTGTTTCACTCTTTTTTGAAAAAGCGCTTACTTAACTCACTATAATTAGACTAGGCTTGGTCTCACTTGATTTATATTAGGCGCTAACTTGTATATCATGTATTTGTCTCGGCGCAAATTTGTCGCAGCAAATTTGTTTTGCGCTAAAATGGGTCGGATACTAAAACGTGAGAGAAACGGAGCTACACTTCAAACATTATCTACATAGGCGTCGTTGGAACAGTATTTGTTGCGCATTATTTCAATAAATTTCATTAATTAAAAAAAATATTTTTTTGTTACGCGCTATTTTATCTTGCGCTATTTTGTACTGCGCTATTTTGTTCTGCATTGTTCTGTCATGGAGCTAAAATAGACATAATTCTTTACCTTTCTAACCGATGTTTGGCGCCTAGATGAACAAATCCTGCCAAACTAGAATTTGAAATAAATTCTTCAAAAGTTTTCTTATAATAACTACTTTTTTCGTTTTTATTTGAATTTTGACTGATAATATTCATGGTAAATTTACATGTAACCTAAAAATGAAAAATGAAAGCAATATATAAAATGAAATCAAAACATATTTACTGTAGAAAATAAATGAATAATAACTTTTACTTTGTAAATAACTTTGAGAAGGACGTATCAAGTTACACAGAGAAAAACTAGAAACATTTCTCAAACCATCTGCAGTAGATTTTAATCAACTTTTGGGTGGAAAACGAAGACTAATATGTGGCTAGAGATATCTGAAGACTCTGAAGAGCCCCAAATATATCGATTTATGCGCATCTCGTGCGTCGCAACTCGGGAGGAATCCTTAATTTTTCGCATTTCGGGCGGAAGGCTACAGGTAGATTAAATACCCTTCGCAACTCGGGCGTTCAAGGATCGGTACCTGAGAAGGTGCTTTCGGCTTAAACTTATAATTATATACGGAGTGCCGTACAGGAGGAGCTTGCCAGTTTTTAAATATTATGTAACTTTCATAAAACAAGATTTTTTATTTATCTTTCTCTGCGAACATAATCTTTACATTACATTGTTATGACATTTGAAATTGTAGTTTTTACTGAAAAAAAGTGTAATTTATTTATTATATAATTAGATTGATAAATAATAGTGTACCTACCTCGGCTAGCTATTCAATTTTTATTTTAATACATTTTTTATGTAGGGTGTCTGTGTAAGTTGGCTACATATGGAAAACTTTTTTTTTTAAGTTTTATCAAAAAAAAAATTATTTAGCATAAAGAGTTGTGGATGGTCTAAAACCTAAAATACATCACATTTTTGAGCCGTATACTAGGACAGTATATGGAAAACTTTTTTTTATTAATAATTTTATGAAAAAAATGTCCTCATAAAAAAGTGTGCGTGATCTCAGACCTTAAAATACAACCATCATATATCAAATTGTATAAGTCGTATACGAGGTTTGTCAAAAATGAATGTACTTTACTCTTGGCCAAAAATATTTTTTTTGACAAATCGTATACGACTCATAAAAATTGATATCTAATGGGTGCATATAAGGTTTTAGACCATGCTAAATTTTGTGGTAAAACTAATAATAAAAAAGTTTTCCATATGTAGCCAACTTACGTAATCTAATGTTTTTAATATATAATTTTATTTTAATTATATAATTTAAACTGTAATTCATTCAAATTGATTTTCCCTCTTTTTTTCTGTTTTTTCCTTTTTTTATTTATTTCAAAGCATTTAATACAATAAACTTGAGTTTAATAGCTTTTGTTTTATTAGGCATAAATAAAAAGAATGAAATTTAATTATTAAAATTTTATTTATTTGCATAAAGTCACATCAAAAATTAATCGAACCTTACAACATGTCTTAAAATTTCGAGTGTACTTCTCAAGTCAGTTTTTCCGTTTGTTAAGTCTTCCACGATGGCATTTATTTGTCGGTCGAGTTTACTGTATTTTGTGGCTCTTTTGGGTGTGGTCATATGTAGACTTGCTTGTTTTTCAGCTACACTATAACATCTTATTTCCTCTTCAAAGACTTTCAGTAACTCGTAAATATTCGGATTGGCTTTACCTATTCGTCTATTGAGTCTGTTGTGCCAGCCCTCTACTGTGTTGGTGGTCCTATGTCTCTCCTTGTACACTACCCATAACAAATCATTGTCCAACCACTGGTCAAGTTTGTTTCTTTCTGTAATTGAGTTAATGATACCTCTGGTTACCCATTGTTGCCTTTTACAAAATTTTTTGTTTTCTCTAATACTTTTGGTATTTTTATTTATATATACGTTTAATGTGTTTTTCATTTAAATTATTTATGCTATGAAAGTCTTCCCACCTGTGATTCTGAATATTTTCTTGTAACTTTTTATAATTAATCTTCTTGAAAAATGACTTTTTTTCAGTTGACTAAGATTGTATTAGCCTTTTTCCTGGGAAGATTTAAAAAAGATCCGCTAGAGGCAGCACCGGTGGGGGGTACATATGTTTTGAATTCTTTATTGACAACAATATCAAACGTATATATTTATAATGGAATTAACGGAAGATGATGTACTTGGAACGAAATTGAAATTTGCAAAAGTGCAAGATCATCTTGTCCGGGACTTAAAACGATGGCTTGCATGTCGTAGCTTAACCGTGTCAGGTAATAAAAATGTCCTAGTTGAAAGGTTAGTTGGTTTATAAACTTTCTCGTATGTCATTGTAATGTTGAAAATTTTATAATTTCAAATAAAATATGTTGTTTTTGTTTATATATGTAACAATTAAGAATGCATTGCAAATGGTAATGTTAAAAAAATTTTCATTGGAATTGATGGTGGTAAATGTCTAACGGATAAACAGCAACGCATGAAATTACTCAATTCAAGTCTACCAAGTTCAACATCCTGCACTTTTCCTACTACAAACTGGGCAAATTTTCCATTCAAAGCTATCCATCGTTCTTTTTGCTATGCTATAATGTATAATTATATTACTACTGGTCCTTTATGTAGACTGATATAAAATATAACCTTTTTAAATAAACAATTACTAACTTTTGAAACTGTCGCTGGCAATAGATTTGGGTTTTCTATTGTTGATCCATTTGAATTAATAAAATGTCTTGTACAAATAAAAGTATATTTTTTTATTTTTTCAACTGTTAAATCTGTCCTTCGTGATAAACGTATCCACTCCAATCACTTTTTTTTGTCAACTTGTGGTTTTATAAAAGGCACAAATTTTACACCATCTTGCTTGTAACGACTGTCAGACGTACAATTAGCAAACGCACAATGTTTTGTAGGCATGACAATTTGTTTTTTAATTTTTTTTTGGCAATATTTATTTTTTCTAATAATAATAAAACGTACGTTTGACGTAGTTATCGAGAATTCAAAACATATGTACCCCCCACCGGTGCTTCCCCTAGCGGATCTTTTTTAAATCTTCCCCGGAAAAAGGCTAATTTGTGATCTGTTATATTGGTATCATATGTGGCTGCTATATATTTATTTAACGCATCAGACCTATAAAATATATGGTCTAAGCAACTTATAGATGTTCCCTGTACTCTTGTATATTTATTTATTAACAATACGAAGTTATATTCACCTAATATATCTAAATATGTAGAAACTAGGTCAGTTTGTTGTTTAATATTTATATTAAAGTCTCCTAAAATCGAGTGTTTAGAAACGTTTAAATTATTTTTTGTTTCTTCCAGGGGTCGATTCTCGACTTTTATTCCCATGGGAAAATAAAATTTTCGCATGGGAATTCAGTTTTCGTATTCTCGACATAAGCGGTGGAATATTTTCCAATGAGAAGTATTTGAAAATATTCCCCTGCTTACGAGCATTGGAAATTGTGTTTTCTGATGGGAATTGGACTAGAGTTTGCGCATTAAAGTCAAAAATTTGGTGAAAGACTATAAGACATAACCAAAGATTATTGGATATCTTGGATTTTTGGTGAAATTGTAGTTAAAACATTTTTTTGGCGTATTTATAGATTGGCATTATTTTATTTATGTAGGTATATATTATTTTTACTTCTCTTTCACTAAAAACTGTATGAACTGATTTTCTTAAATCAGTTGTGGAAGCTGCGAAGGGACTGGCAAATAACACAAATTGAGAAATTTGTAGTAGGTACATTTAATAAGACCTTTTCGAAAATTTTATTATTTCCGTTAACGAAAGAATTTCTTAGTTTCTCGAAACTTTCGTTGCTCTTCCATACAAAAGCTACTTTTTCTTTTCAACATGTGATAAGAAAAATCAAGTTTTAATAATAATCGAATATTTTCATTTGTTCCTCCGTCATGCTAGCGATTGCTCGGCAAGGCATCTGCTCCAGCGCGGAGGGTCGGCAGCACGTCTGTAGGTAATCGGTTACCCAAAAACCACAACAAATACAAATAATGCCAACAGCGAATTTTAAAATATCTTTAATGTTATTGGTTGTTTCGGAATATTCGTGGACTTAATATCAGACATACGTGAAACTACTATTTCCATGGGAATGTCTATTCCGACGAGTTCGAGAATTGCATAACCTATTACCATGGGAATATAAGTAGTGGAATCTTTTCCCATGAACTCGAGAATCGAGCCCCAGGTATGACCACAAATTATTAATAAATTCTTCTTCACTTATCAGTGGTGGTTTATACAAAGATGTTATTAAAAGTTGATTTTTGTTAGATAAAGTAATTATAATTTGTACCGCTTTACATAATCCTATTTCTACTATATTATATTCGTAATTTATATTACTTTTAATAAAAACTACAACCCCATCGTTACGGTTAATATCTCCCTATTGTAAATCATATTATAATTAGGAATCTGAAACAAACTTAAATCAGGAATATTTAGCGTTTCTGTAAGAACAATAAACTCAAATGTGTGATTCAACTGTGATAAAAATATTTTTAGTTCTTCTATGTTTTTATTTATACTACGTATATTTTGATGAAATATTTTAAAATGATTAGAATTTAGGCTTTTGTAGTGTGTATTAATATCTTTTAGTTCTTTAAACTCAATTGTTGGATAAGGTTCATAGTTAATGTCTCTAATGTATGGATCCATAATCAAAAGTGGCTTCTTTTTAACAATAAAGTTTTAAAATCTATTTCTTGTTGCCTAATCTTGTTCTTGGTTTAAGTATATTTTCTTTGTTCTTGCCAACTTCTCTGCTCGGTGTTTCGGTGTTTGTAGTTTGTGATTATTTCTTTGATTTGTTTTCTTCTTTTTTTTTCTTCCGTTACCTAGTTAGGACTTATTTCCTTAATATTAGTATTTTCTGGGAGGTTTCGCTGGGGTATCCTATTTTGGAAAAAAAGTTGAATTTCATCAAAAACCAATGTTCCTGCTTTTTGAAAAGTTGGTACAGTCGGAGTTTCTGAGTTTTTGGCTCTTCCTGTTGTTCCTGATTAGGTACATACTTAACATAGACACAACTATTTGGTTTCTTAAATTAATTTAGGATAGTGCAATATTTATTTTTTTTATATTGTCTTTAAAAAAAAACTGCAATGTAAGTTTAACTTCTATGTTTTTGTAAA